TTCCCTACGAGACACGCATACACCGTACGTACACCCATCGAGGACCACGCGAGTATGAATGGAGCAAACAAATTAGAGATGTCCCGTGATACTCGATAATAATACTGTACCATATATGCGTACACATATGTATCATACGTACATCCCGATTAGATAGTCGAATAGTTTTTAGATGATTAATAATCCCGGCGTGTTTTTTGATCCGCTGTTTACACGAACGAATGATACCCTCGATCATTTTTAATCCGTATCTTTTTGCCGTCGTTTCTTAATTTTTCTTGGTCTGTCTCCATGTTCGTTTTTGTTTTTTTTTCAAGTAGCCACGTAGACGTTCGTTGGGTATCGATCATTGCTGAGAATAACGCCGATAGTTAGATTGGTTTTACCGTAGCTAGAAAACACCACCGGCGACTTTGTTTCGTCAGACACCGATGCTCGGATGACGAGTATCACACCTGTCACTGTCTGTTTCTCCATCCACCGTCCGTCCACCCGAACCCCGTAATGTTTAAGGCACGAATTAGAATAATCGAAGCGGTTCGAGAGTAATTAGAAAGGATACTCGATGAACAACGATGATCAACAACGAGCGGAACACGACGAGAGCTCGTTTAGAGGATGGAATAATCTCCAGAGACACGTTCGTGCGGTTCGTTTCGTCCGTGCGCCTGTGTTGTACGTTGTTGGGGTTGCAGGATTAGCGGCGTTCGTTCGGCGATAACGAGACAATCGATTATCAACGTTTCCACGGGACAAAATATAATCTCTCGCGATCGCGAAGAACTCTGGCACGCGAACACCACGCACGCTTCTAAATTCGAGATCGAATTTCTGAAAGATACTTGTTGCATATTCGGTAGAATTTTCATTGATCTCGCAATTACTGAGTCGCATAAAGGGGACTGATTACAATTCTCGTAACGTTTTACGATCAAATCAACCGTACATAGCCACATTGAGTAACAAGAGAATGTATAAGAAGTGCGAGACGTGATAATTCGACTGACAATTCATATTAATCGATCAAATACACACACTTCTATATTTGAAATTTAATTTCTGAGAGATACTTATTGCATATTCGGTAGAATTTTCATTAATCTCGCGATCACTGAATCTAATAGATTTGGGAACTGATTACAATTTCTGTAAAATTTTACAATCGAATGAACAGTAGCTAGCCATCAGCGTAACAAGAAAGTGTAGAAGAATACAAGACCTTCATACTAATCAATCAAATACACACGCTTCTAAATTCAAAATTTAATTTCTAAAAAGTTGCGACCATTAGATCACATAAATCTGGGGACTTATGGCGATTCCTGTTACGTTTCACGATCGAATGAACCGTAGATAGCTACGTCGAGTAACAAGAAAATGTGCAAAAAGTACAAAGCGTGATAATTCGATTAACAATTCATGCTAATCGGTCGATTGATTGACGAACGGTCGAGCGATTCGCGTTAACCCTTCGCCGAGCATCGCGAGATACAGATCGACACGCGCGTGTAATCGGTCGCGCGCGACAACGAACACGTACACATGCACACACAGGATCGAAAAACCGAACGACACGCGAGAGACGCAGAGGATCGCACAGTGAACACAACCAAAACCAAAAGTATAACCAACGGGACTTTCTGACGATATCGTATGTAAGCTTTTGAC